CTTGAAGATTGATTTCGAACTCTCCACGGCTCAAAAGAATAGCCTTGAATTTCTCCTTGCTCTTGTATTTCGCTTTGCATTTCGCTTAAAAACTCGTCATCAGTACTTTCACTTGACGAACTGCTAGAAATCATAATACAGTAATGTACAAAAAGCCTCAAGAATTAGAATTATCAACTTCGATGAAAATTCTAAAATCGTGTTGTTTTCGCATCGCGCAGTGACGTCATACATCGTGTCCAGACCCTCGCGGTTATGTTCAAGATGGCGCCGTCGAAGTCATCGTTTTTCTGTGACTTTCAAGTATCTTTTCTTGGTTATAAATGCAGCTACAAAGGTAAGACTTCGCATAAACATCAATGGGGTATAGACCTTTTATTTCACTATTGATGTCATAGAAACGGACTTCTCCTTTAATTAAAGTTTTTTATTACTGTATTATGATTCAAAATCTGTGATGAAGAGATTAACTTCTGGGATCCAAGAATTATGCCCTCTAACAAGCTTGTCCTCTCAAATTATCCCCAACAGCGGTCTTGCAATCGCCCTTCGACAATTGACATTCGCCATTTTATCCGACAACCTTTTTTCAAATATCTATATATATTTTTTATTTTTAGTCAGATCATTTAAACCAAAAATGATGAAATCTCAAAACTATTTCATATTAAAATCTTTCATTTAAAAAAGTTTTTTTATTTAATATAAAGCATAGATTTTTATTAGTTAATAGCTAAAATTAACAACTTAACAACATGAATTTTTTTTTCATTTTTTAACTTTTATATAATTATAATTTAACAAACTACTTATAATTAGGTGCAGTAGAAGTTACAGTAGCAAACATGTGCAAGAACGACAGATGTCCAGCAGAAGAAATATATGTTATTGGATTTATACCAAGCTATTGTTTGCCAAAAAAACGCCCATGTAGTCTGGATCCATTTCTGGATCCCTTCATTTCAGAAGCCGAGGAACTTTTTATCTCAGGTGAATATTTTCATTAGAAATTGTAGTCTCCTTCACACATGGCATTAGTTTTGGGCTATACCTGTGTTCACCATTACACCAGCTTGTACACTTATGCAACTGTTTGTTATAACCTTGTTTTAGGAATTCAGGTAGATTATTCTTTACAAGTTGATGATTTGCCTCCTGGAGAAACATTACTCCGTTGTCTAATAATTTTATGGACTGGTGACCTTCCAGCACAGTGCGAAGTTGGCAAATTTATCAAGTGTGGTATCAGAGCAAGGAATAGGTATTTTAAATTTATTGTATATTACTAATCTTTATAGAGCAATACTTTCAAGAAGCCCAGCATTGATGTCCCCTTTTGCTTGATTAAGATGACTGAATACTAATGCTAAATAGTAATCAGGAATTGATTTTTTAATATTATTTCTATAGCTGTAGAATCTTCATCTGCAACAGGTGTCAAGTACTATTTTGGGGACAATCGTTACCATACAAGGCATCCCTTTGATAGATGCAACCTTCTAGAAGACCTGGAAACAATGAAGGAGATAGATCAAGAAGATCGCAAAAGCATCCGCTCCAAAATGAGCCGAAACACTGGTTATACTGGCTTGAGTATTCTTCACAGGCTTTATAAATTATATGGCTTTAATGTGTTAACAGACTTTGTCTTTGATATGATGCATAACCTTCCTATGAATGTTGTTTCAAATCATCTTCAGATGCTTATTAACAGTGATAAAATAGACAAGAATTTAACTGATGACAGACTGAGTGCAGTTCCTTGGTCTCCTGGTATGCACACATTTTTTT